AATGACAGCATCCACATCTGTCCATGGCTGTCTGCATACAATAGTATGCAGACAACCTTACATACATATTCTAGGTCAAAGCAATTGGATCAGGATGGTAGCCAGCCAGTCTCCATTTCCAGAAGGGGAGGTTAGAAATGGCAGCCTCCATATTTTTTTAACACAGGGTTTTGTTTAACCCATTAAAGACCCTTTCGCTGCCAAGGCCTTTTTTTTGCACATGTTATAATCCACATTTTATGCCTGAAAATTACTTGAAACCCCCAAACATAATATATTTTTCAGAAAGCCAAGATCCTGTAGAATAAAATGGCGGCAGTTGCAAATTTTTATGTTGCATGATATTAGTGGAAATTATCAAACCTAAAAATTTAGTGAAAAATGCACTTAAAGGATAATTAAACCCTTGCGTTTTTTTACATGCATCTACTGTTAGCAGTAGATATATGCCAACACATAAAAAAAAAAAAAAAAGTGAATAGGTTTAAAAACTTACCTGTGTCTCCGCCACGCGCTCACGTCCGAAGATCTGAAGAGTTTCGGGCGGCCGCAAAGGATCATGGGGCGGGCGCATGCGCAGTAGAGCTCTTCGGCCGGGAGACGAGGAGAGACACAAGGTCAGTCTATGCACGCAGCCCGGCAGCGTATGCCCGCACAGACTCCGTGGGAAACAGAAGACACAGCAGTCAGCGCTGGATCAGAGACTGGCACCAGCGCTGGAGGGACTCCTGAAAACTACTGGAAAGAAGATGATGATGATCGGATCAAGAGGCATCATTTAAGGTAAGTCCTTACACCAGTATGGGTGGGAGAAAAATAAAATACCTATTGTTTTGTAAAATATAAAAGATAAGGTTTACAACGAGTAGAGAGATACCCAACATGATCAGGTTAAAAATTGTGTGCGTCCGTGCTGCCACAAAATTCAGTACCACAAAAAGGCCATAGACGAAGCTTCATGCAAAGCTGTACTGAAATTAATTTTATACCATTTTTTGGGGACACATAGAGCTTTCTTTTGGTGGTATTTAATCACCACTACTGAAAATCTTGAAAAAAAAACGTGTTTTTTTTAACATTATGTTAGGAAACATTTATTATTACCCAGTTTGTTGGTAAAATATAAAAGACGGGGTCACGTCGGGTAAATAGACACCAAACATGTCAAGCTTTAAAATTGCGCGCACCCGCGAAATCGCAGAAAACTACAATACCCAAAATTGGCCATAGGCGACGCTTTCAAAGCTTTTACCGCTCATCAGTTTAGTGTTATCAGTGATTGATGGCACTAGAATGATTGCTCTCACTGTGACATTTGCGGCGATATGTAGCATGTGCGTTGTTTGCATGCGTGTATGTATGGGTGGGGACTTTAAAAAAAAAAAAACTTTGTTTTTTTATTCTTTGTGATGTGTAACTTGAAATTTTTTGGGGGGGAAACTAATTTTTTTTTCCACTAAACTTTATTGCCATCACATACGGGGGCTAATAAAAAAACCCCTATGTGATAGCAAAATATGTGACAGGTCCTCTTTATGGAGACATCAGGGGTCTCCAAGACCCCTAATGTCACCTAGGACCCCCCAAAAGAAGCTGATGAAGCACAGATCTGCTCCATCAGCTTCTTTCCAGCTTCTGAAGCTGGAGAGTGACACAAGAATGCGGAAGTGATGTATTATACAACACTTCCGCATTCTTGCAGCGGAGAGGGGACCGGAGGGAGCTCGTGTAACGATCCCTCTCTGATCCCCTTTGACACAGACACCATGCTGATCCCGGGCTCGCACAGGGGGGGGGAATCGATCGTTACCCCATACAAGCGATCGCTTGTATGTTAACAGGCATCGCTGCCTGTTTTTAAATATCGGGCATTGCCCAGTGGCTCGCACGAGGGGGCATGTCTGAGCGGACGTCTAAAGACGCCCGCTCAGATCTTGAGAGCTCCCGGCCGGCCGTTTTTTTTTACAACAGCCGGCCCGGAGGCAGTTAAAAGCCCATACAGGGCATCAGTTTAGGGATACGTGTAAATATTGGCCCTACAATTATTGCTCTTACTCTGGCGCTCGCAGCGATACCCAACTTGTGTAGCATGATCGCCATTTTTGTACGTAGGTGTGCCCGACGCGTGTTTACGTGAATAGACTCATGATCGTTTTACAAAAACATTTAATATTTTTTTAAACAGTTTTTGGCTTTTTTTATTTACTTTTAGAGCTGCAGCTAACGATTATTTTCAAAATCGATTAGTTAGCCGATTATTAAGTTCGATTAATCGGTTAATCGGATAAACTATAAAATAAAGTTTAACTTTAATTGCGATCACATAGGGGGGCTTACAAGCTCCCTCTGTAATAGCATATTGGTGGTGACAGGTCCTTTTTAAGCAATACGTAGAAATGTCACCAGCACACCAAATCTTTTTAGGATAGCAAAATGTTCATTTATTGGAAGTTCCTTGTGATATAAACAAGTGCTTTCGGGACCACACAGGGTGCCTTCATCAGGGTTAGCCTTAGCTTGTTTATATGACAAGGAATTTCAAATAAATGAACATTTTGCTATCCTAAAAGGATTTGGTGTGCTGGTGACATTTCTACATATTGCAGATGTTTGTGGCGCCATCTCCAGTCACTGTGAGCATCCCACCCATTACAAGGGACTTTTCGTAAGGAGTGCAACAAGGAAAAGTGTTTAAGGTACCTTTTAAAGTGACAGTTTACTGACCCGTAGAAGCGATCTGGCGACAGCTGATCAGCCAGAATCACTTCGAATGCAAAGTCAACTTTACAATTGTAAACAGAGTCCCGGCGGCGTCTGTTTAAACGGGCTCGCTGCTAATGACGTACTATGTACGTCAGTGGACGCAAATGGGTTAAATAGGTTTTGCATTCCCATTGCATGATGGAAATGCAAAACCCACTTGAAGCAGGTTAAAGGGTTATTAAACCCTCGCTTGTTTTTGCATATATCTATTGCTAGCAAGCAGTAGATATATGCAAAACAATTTTTAAAAAAAACTTTTTGAAAGGGTTAATACTTACCTGTCTCCCCGCCGCGGGCTCCTGTCTGAACATCTGAAAATTTCTCGGGCGTCGGCCAGGGATCTTGGGGCGGGCGCATGCACAGTTCAGATGTTCGACCAGGAGACGAGCAGAGACACAAGGTAAGTATATGGAGCAGCGTGCACCCGCACAGACTCCGTGGGACATGAGCGAAGAGGAGGACAGAGGAGTCAGCGCTGGATCGTAGACCTGCACCGTCGCTCGCTCACTTCTGGATCATGTCCCTGCAGAGAGCCGTGACGGTCAGCCACGGCTCCCTGCAGGGATTCCCCCCCTCCCAGATCCTCCAGCGCTGACTGGCGGAACGGACGGGGGAGGGTACAGCTGGCTCTGACTGTAGATAGGCAGAGCCAGCTGTCAATCACGCAGCTGGGTGGATCTCGACAGTAATGTCGGGATCCCTCCCGGGTGCGGCCGTCTCAGTATCTCACGGGAGGACGTTAGTTTATGTGATGTGAATGATCTCAGGAGTGTCTCAAATTGATACCATCAGAACAAGCCCAAACCCCATTGGTGTAGACCCTAAAGGCTGAGTTCACGTGTGGCCGAGGGGCAGTAAAAACAGGAGGATGATCCACATTTCTATCCCACCCCAGCCATGCACTTACAAGTTGAACTGACAAGTATAGCAGCCGGACAGTGCCATGCATATTGCAAAAACTAGAGAGGTGGCGTGGCCTGCCAAATGTGAATGCACCGCAACCAAGCATTTGGCACGCGGCACGGTAGTTCTATGCACATGTATAGGCATTCAAGAGACAGCAGTATCGTCTTCTGAATGCCTGAAAGTCTTTTGCTGCTGCAGCCGCTCACCTTGTGACTTGCTACAAATTGATACTTTTGCAGTCTAATCACCATTGAGGAGAGGCGATGGACTGAGTGAATCTGGCCTTGAGAGCTTGTTCACACCATATACAGTGCATTGCAGCCCAGTTAGGGAGA